CTCTTTGTCCGGCAAGCGCACGCACCCTATAGCAAAAACCTCTCTCTCAAAAAAATTTACTGATACTTAGAACTAAAACTGGGGTTAAGAGGGATATGTACCGTAGGGAGTCATTAGAAACCAGGTCAGCATTAAAGGTCAAATTGATGAGATTGTAGGGGGACAATGTAGAAGAGGGAAAAGAACAATGAATTTGGGGAGACTAATATGTAAAGGAGAATCGGAATTAAGAAAAATTTTAAAATAGAGAGGGAAAATTCCCAATAAACAGTATTACAGAATCCAATAGTAGAGAAAGGTACGAAAAGGAAGGTGAAGTGGAAACTCAGGTTAGTAAAGTAAAATATCAAGAATTAAAAATTATTATTTAAATTTTAAAATAGATTTCTGGTTATTTTATCATTAGTCTTGTCAATAAAAGCAAAAACCAGATTAGAATGGATTGAACAATAATTTAAAGAAAGAGGTAGTGAATATAGACAGAAACGTATTTATAAATTAACTTATAAAATATTATATGAATGAATAAATCTATAAATTTCATTTTAGGCTTGTGTTGGAGTAATGTTAGTGGGCCCAACAGGTGGAGGAAAGACAACAGTCAGAAGAATTTTAGAAAAAGCATTAATATTATTACCAGTTGTAGACATACTATCAGTTGAAGAAAGGCTATCTTTTTCAAAGGTAAATATTCTACTAAATAAAATGTTTCTCTATTTGTTTATATCTTTGCTTCTAATATTTTATGTTCTCTTTGCCTAGATATCTTCATTACTTATTGAATTTACTGTTAGGAATTATTGTAGTGAATGGTATTTTTTAAATTATTATTTATTTAAACCTCAAACTGGCATTTGCTAGTATAAAATAAAACTATCAGGACCAGCAGATGGCATAATGGTTACATTGTTAACTTCAACATAGTTGATAGTGGTTCAAGTCTTGGTCCAAGCAGCTTAAAACTCATGCCAGGTGTGTGTGTGCACCCATGCTCAAAATCCTGAGAGGAGAATGGAGGAAAAGGAATTGCAATGTGGCCATCCCACTTGGGGGTGGTTTCTTGCTTTCTATCTCTCTGTTTCTCTTAGGATCACACATGCCCTATAGCAAAAATCTCTCGAAAAATTAAATAAACTATCAAATTTGTATATTTATTTTGTATCTAGCCACCTTAATGGACTTGTAAATTCTTAACTGCTTTTAAATAGTAACTGAATTATCTCCAAATGAAAATCTTTTTCATCTTTTTCTCTTTTCTAATATTTAGATAACTTATATTCTGTTTTCTTATTAAATTAATTAACCTTCAAGACAACGTTAACTGCTTCCTTACTTTATTTGAAATACATTTAATATTTCTGCATTTAATATAATATTTGCTCTTGGTCTGTGATAAATATTCTCTTTCATACTTTAGAAATTCAAATCCCATTACAGTTTCGTTTTTTGACTTTTAGAATTTATTAAATTTTCAGCATTTTAAAATATTTTAACTGACTAGTATAATAATGTATATTGATAGATTTACTAGTGTTAACTTGTCCTTGAAGTCCTATAATAGCTCCTACTTCATCATGATATATTTTTATTCAATGTAAAGTTAGACTCCAATAAACACTGTGTATTCCAGTTGTGTTATTTAAACATTCCTTATTGATAAAGTATTCCAAAGTCTTAAAAAGTCAGGTTCTCAGTTGAGTGAAATTTTTTTCAATTATCATAAAATATCTTGCTTCAAAATTATTCATTCAGTAGTATATAACTCTTTGCCTTTTTCTCTACCTAAACTCTTCTCAGTTAGCTCTTAAGCAATTATAGTAAGAGGTGAATTATCACAATAATAACAAGTAATATTTTTGGAGTACTAAATATGGCCAAGTTCTAGCCAAAATACTTTTTGCTTGAATTATCACATTTACTTCTCACAACAACCCTATTGACAGTTATTTGCTGTATTAAAGATTTTTTTAAAGTGCAAAAGTAGTATGTACAATTGTGAGAAATTTAGAAAATAAAAAATATATACAGAAATAGTCATCCAGAAAGAATGACCAAAAACATTTTGCAGTATTTCCTTTATTTTCTCTGCACTAATATATTCTTTAAATTATTGTGATAGTGCTATGTAGAAATTTTTTCAATTTTCCTATTTTGGCCATTTTCACCTAATATCCTATGCTGAGAGTTTACCCCAGTTCATTAAAACTTCTCATAAGTGGGGCTGGGAGACCAGCAGTTAGCGAAATGACTGTGTCGTTGTACTCCCACATAGTCGACCGCAGTGCGAGTCCCGGACCCGGTGACTTAAACTCACGCTGGGCGTGTGTGCATGCATGCCCAAGATCCCTAGAGGAGAATGGAGGAGAAGGGATTGCAGCATGGCCATCCCATACATGCATACATACATAAATAAAAATAAAAATAAAAGTGGGGCCGGCAAGTGATATAGTGTTTAAAGGAGCTGGACTCTCAAGTGGCTGACCACAGTTCAAGTCCTGGACTTGGCAGCTTGCTTTCTTGCTTTCTCTCTCTCTCTGTCTTGATCTGGTAAAATTAAAAATAACAATAATGATAAATAAGAAGAAAAAAAAAACTTCTCACAAGTATCATTCCATTGACTGTATTCTATATATATGACTACACTATAATTTATTCAGCAATTCGGTCATGTTTACTAGTTATCAATTTTCAGTTTTTTTAAAAATACAACTGTGGACCAGTCAGTGGTGTGATGGTTAAGGTAACTTGATTCCATATGGCTAGCTGCATTGAGTCCCAGACCTGGTAACCAGACAAACATGCCAAGTATGTTTGTATGCATGCCCAAAATCCTAAAAGGAGAAGGGATTGCAGCCTGGCCACATTAGGATTATTTTCTGATCACTTCTTTTTACTCTGCATCATTGGAACCCTACTATTTTTGCTGTATCCCCTTAGATGTGTATTTATCTTTTAAAACTATTATACCCAGGAGAGAGATTGATGGGAACTAAAGTAATTTCACCTTCACCTATGTACTCCCAGGTGAAATTCACATAACATATAATTAACCATTTTAAAGTATGTAATTCAATGACATTTGGTGCATTCTCAGTGTTGTGAATCATGACTTCTCCCTTTTTAAAACTTTTTTTACATCAAAGGAAAACACCTCTTTCTCATTGAGAATTAACTTCCCATTCTCCTTCTCTCCATTTATTGGCAATTATTAATTGACTTTTTGTTTCTGTAGATTTGCCTATTTTGTGTATTTTGTTTAAAAGGAATCGTATGTGACCTTGTGTGTGGTTTCTTTCACTTAGCATTATGTCTTTGAAGTTCATCCAAATGGTAGCATGTATCAGTACTTCATTTCATTTTATGGCTAAGTAATATTTAATTGTACAAAATGTTTATTTATAACAATATGTTCATCCTTTGATGAATATTTGGGTTTTTGTCCACCCTTTGGATATAATGAATATTACTGTTAAAAACATTTGCATAGAAGTGTTAGGGTAGACATATGTTTTCACTTCTCTTGGATATAGACACATGTGTAGAATTGTGTAATTTTTTTTAAAATGGCCAGAAGGCACCTGTGCATACCAGAAAGACAGTGAGAGAGGAAAAAAGCAACCCTCGGGGTGGGGGGGTGTTGCCGCAGTCCATTCTTCCTCATCCTATTGAGATTCAGGGCACATGTGCACATGTGCATAGCATGTTTTTTGTTGTTGTTTTGTTTTGAGAGAGATTTTTGTTATTGAGCACATGCACTTGCCAGAGAGACTGAGAGACAGAAAGGAAGAAATCACTCCTCAGAGGGGATGGCCATGCTGCAATCCCTTCTCCATTCTCCTCTCAGTATTTTGCACATGTATGCACATGATCCCAGCAGGAGATTTAAGCCACCAGGTCCAGGACTCAAACTGCAGTCTACTACATGGGAGTCCAGTGATGTAACCATTACACCATCTGCTGGTCCCTGTGCATAGCATGTTTTTAAAGCTGGTGGGTCTGGGATTCAAATTGTAGTTGGCTGTGTGGAATTCATTTCTCTTAACTACTAGGCTGTGGGACTGACCCAGAGACATATTTCTATGTTTAATTTCTTGAGGAGCTATCAAACCATTCTTCACAGCAATATACCATTTTAAATTACCATTTGCAATGGTAATTTTTTTTTCTGTTCTAGTGAATATGATGCATTATCTCATCATGGTTTTGATTTGCATTTCCTTAATGACCTAGAGAGGTTGAATATCCTTTCACAAGTTTATTGATATTTTTATCTTTTTTAAAGACCTATTTGTGTCCCTTGTCCATCTTAAAATTAGATCTTTTTGTTATGAGGGTTTTTTTATATAAATGGATACAAAATACTTATCAGATACATAATTTGAAAATATTTTCTCCTATTCTGTAATTTGTGAATTATATCCTTTGATGCTCAAAAGTCATCAATTTCATAAAACGTATTTTTTTCTTTTGTTGTTTGTACTTTGGGTGCCAAATCTAAGAATCCATTGACAAATCCATGGTCATGAATGTTTATTCCTATATTTTTTTCTAAACATTTTAGAGTTGTAGCTTTTATATTTAGTAAGTTTGAGATTGGGAAGTGAGAATTGAGCATCCTTGTTTTTCTTTTTGAATACTATTTTGGGTATTTGAGGCCACTTGTAGCTCCATTTTAATATGAGACTTGACATTCTCCATTTATGCATAAAAGATCATTGGAATTTTGATAGCTATTGCATTGAATCTATAGATGACTTTGGGAACATTACATTTTAACAATATTAAGTTTTCCAATCAATGAATACAAGATAAATTTCCATTTTTATATCTTTGATCTCTTTCAGCAATACTTTGTAGTTTTCAATATACACATCTTTCTCTTATTATTAAACTTATTTCTTGGCATTTTATTCTTTGGATACTGTTATAAATGACATTGTTTTTTCAACTTCATTTTTGGATTGTTCACTGGTACTATATAGATGCACAAGTGACTTTTCTTTTTATGTTGATCTTATACACCCACAGTTTTGCTGATTTATTTATTAAATCTAGTAGTTATTTTGTATATTCTTTGGGCTTTTCTATATGTAGAATCATCTCATATGCAAATAGAGATAATTTTACTTCTTTACAATTTGGCTGCCTTTCATTTTCTTTCTTGCCTAATTGCCTGGCTAGGACCTCCCTAGTACAATGTTTAATAGTAGTGGTGAAATACAGGATCGTGAGACCAGCAGATGGCATAAGGGTTACTTTGCTAGACTCCCACATAATCAACTACGGTTCAAGTCCTGGACCTAGCAACTTAAAACTCATGCCAGGTACATATGTGTTCATGCCCAAAATCTCCAGAGAAAAATGGAGGGAAAGGGATTATGGCGTGGCCATCCCCCCAGGGGGTGATTTCTCGCTTTCATCTCTGTCTCTTTGACAAGCACATGTGCTCTATAGCCAAAATATATATAAAAAAAAAACAACTTTAAATTAAAAAGAGATAGAGAAATACTAGATCCTTGTCTTGTTCCTAATTTTAGGCAGAATGCTTTCAACCTCTCTCTCACCATTAAGTGTGATGTTAGCTATAGGCTTTTCATAAATACTTCTTCATGTTAAGGAGGTTCTTTCTCATTTCTAATTTTCTAAGTATTTATCATGAAGGGGTATGAAATTTTATCAAATATCATCTCTGAGTCTTGATACAGGCACATGGTTTCTCTCGTTCTGTTTTTGTGGTGTATTACATTGACTGATTTTCTCATATAAAACTGCTGTTATATTACTGGGATGAATCTCACTTGGTCATGGTTTTTAATCCTTTATATATGCTTCTTGAAGGACCAGCAGATGGCATAATGGACTCCCACATGGCTGATCACGGTTCGAGTCCTGGACTCAGAGGCTTGAAACTCATCCCAGGCATGTGTGCATGCATACCCAAAGTCCTGAGAGGAGAATGGAGAAGGGCTTACATGGCCATCCCCCCATGGAGGGTGATTTCTTGCTTTTTGTTTCTCCATTTTTTTTCTGTCTCTCTGGTGACTGCACGTGCCCTATAGCAAAAGCCTCTTAAACAAACAAACAAAAACTTGATTCAGTTTGTTAGCACTTTTTCAAGAATTTTTGTATCTCCATTAATAAGGGATATTGATTAGTAGTTTTCTGTCTCTTTGCTTTTATATATGTTGAATATCCTTTATTCAAAATGCTTAAGACCAGAAGTGTTCAGAATTTTTTCAGACTTTGGAATATTTGCATATGCATAATGAGATATCTTGGAGATGAAATCAAATTCTAACACTAAATTTATTTATGCTTAATATACACCTAATACACACAGCCTGAAGATAAATTTTGTACTTTTGTATTTTAGTATTTTGACTATGAGATCAGATGTGGAACTATCTACTGTGGCATCCTGTTAGTGCTCAAAGTTTTGGATTTCAGAATTTTGAATTAGAGATATTTTACCTGTATCTTTGTTCAGGTATAGTGTCAGCATAATGTTGGCCTCATAGGATGTGTTAGAAAGTATTTCCTTCTTTTTGCATGACTTTTAGTAGGATGGATGTTAATTCTCTCTTAAATGTTTGGTAAGATAAGTCTATTATCTGGGCTTAGACTTTTCTTTGTTAGAGGTTTTTGATTTCTGATTCAAATTATTTGTTATACATCTATTGAAATATTCTATATTTTCTTGAGTCGATTTTAGCAATCCATGTATGTCTAGAAATTTGTTCAATTCATCTAGATTATATAATTCGTTGGTGTAAAAATTGTTTATACTGTTCTTTTGTAAGCCTTTTAGTTTTTGTAAGGCGGTGGTAATTCTACACTTTGATTTCTGATGTTAGTTGCTTTTCCTCTCTTCTATTCTTAGTCTAACTGAAAGTTTGTTGATTTTTGTTGCTCTTTCAAATAAACTCTTTTGATATTATTGATGCTGTTTTTTTCTCTATTTTGTTCATCTCTGCTCTAGTTATTATTTCCTCCTCTTGCTTGATTTATATTTAGTTTTCTTTTTCTAGTTCCTTAACATGCAAAGTTTGATTGCTAATTTCTTTCTTTCTTTTTTAACGTGGATATGTACAACAGTTTCTTCTTTGTGCTGCTTTTGCTATATCCCACAAGTTTTGATATATTGTATTTTCCTCAAAGTATTTTCTAGATTCCCTCATTGTTTATTCTTTAGTGGGTTGTTTAAAAGTGTATTGTTTAATTTTCACATATTTGCAATTTTTTCTTCTGTTTTTGATTTCTAGTTTCATTCCATTGTAGTTAAAGAAGATATTTTGTATGTGTAAGGGGAGAGTCCCAAATCTGAGAGAGGTTGCCTGTAATGTTTACCAATTCCAAAAAACATACTCAGGTTCAGAACATACTCAGGTTACTTACTAGAGAAGTTTCAATGATGGCTGGAGGAGAATGGTCCATGATGCCATGGACATAAACTTGTATTACATATGCTAAAGATCAAAGAGTACACATATCACCTATGAGATAAGCACAGACTCTCTATAAGGCAAGAATCTGGTTTCTACATACATTGAGGATGACAATGGTGAAGTTATTGATTAGCAGAGTTGCCAGAGCTTGTGCCTCTAATGAATTTAGTGCCTCTAATCTGGGAATATTGACATGGAAGAGGGATACATACCTCAGGAATGGCCCTAGCTGTAAGCTGATTCCATGAGGAAAGGGAATAATCACAACAAGATATTTATAAGGCCCAGAAGATCAGCATCTGGGTTCCAGGGAGACAGGGTAAAGAGAGAGAGGGGAGAAGAGCTCAGTGTATGCAGCCTACTCTCAGTATGATTTCAGTTTTTTCAAATGTACTCAGAGTAGCTTGATGGCCTAAAATGTAGTCTGTCCTGGAAAATGTCCTATGTGTACTTTAAATTTTAGAATGTGTATTCTACTATTATTGAGTGTAGTGCTCTGAAAATGTTTGTTAGGTCTAGTTGGTTTATATTGCTACTCAAGTCTCTTGTTTCTTTATTGATCTTTTATCTGGATGTTCTATAAATTATTGAAAGTGCAGTATTTTTTTCTTTTAGACAGAGTTTTGCTATAGGCCGCAAGGGCGCATCGGAGAGACAGAAGACAGAAAATGAGAAATTAGCCCCAGTGAGGATGGCCACACTGCAATTCCTTCTCCTCCATTCTCTTATCAGGATTTGGGGCATGCACGCACACACCCAGTGTGAGTGTTAAGCCATCAGGTCCGTAGTTGACCTTAGGACCTTAACTTAGGTCAGCTACAGTGGGAGTCCAGCAATGTAACCATTATGCCATCTGCTGATCCCAAAAATGGAGAATTAAGGTTTCCAGTCACTAATGTACAACTATCCATTCTTCTCTTCCTTCAATTCTATCAGTGTTTGCTTCATATATTCTGGGGCCTCTCACTTTTCCTTTCTATGTATCTCTCCAGCAAGCATAGATGCCTATAGCAAACTAAAACCCAAAATAACCCAAAAACTCATTTGTCCTGTAAGTAGGGATTTAGAAACATGAGGCCCTTCTTCATGACCAGTGCTATTTAATTAACATAACCAAAGTCTGAAGTCTTAACCCTTACTTTGGACCATTAAAATTTAAATGAAATTTGCATTCCAAGCCCTCTTAGAAAGATACTTTTAGTTCAGTCCTTATTAATTTCTCAGCTTGGAGAAGAATTGCATTTTTTTTTAATAAAAGGGAAAATTGAGGGCCCAGACCTTTTTAGGGAGTCCCTGTTCAGTTTCAAAAACAATTATCTATAAACCAAGGACAGAGGCCTTGGGAGAAATCAAACTTATTGACTTTAATCTTAGGCTTCTAGTTTCTAAAACTGTGATAAAATATATTTCTGTTGTTTTGTTTTGCTTTGTTCTTTAAAGAGATTTTTGCTATAGGGCATGTAACTCAGCAGAAAGACAGAGAAAGATAGAAAGCAAGAAATCACCACTCAGGGGTGATGGCCACACCACAATTCCTTCTCTGTTCTCCTCTCTGGATGTTGGACATGCATTGTGGCCCTCCTCATGACCAGTGCTATTTAATTAACATAACCAAAGACATGCATGCACACACACCCAGCACTGAGTTTCAAATTGCAGGAAAGACATGAACCAGAGCAGCTGACCTTGTGAAAGCCCAGCACCTTAACCACCACCTGCTGGTCCCACATTTCTTTTAAGTACCTACTCTGTGGTATTTTGGTATGGCAGCCCAAGCCAACTAATTTAGCATCCTAAATAAATACCAATCTAGTTTGAATTGATACCAACTTAGCTTCAGTAGCATACATTAATACTGTTCCTATCCAGTTCTGCCCCCTGCTTTATATTGTTATTAACACAAATTATGTCTTTTTACTTTGTTTGCCTATTAATATAGATGTATCATTATAGTTGTCTTTGAAATGACATAGAATAAAAAGTGGAGTTACAAACCAAAAATCCAATAATACTAGATTTTATTTTTATTTATATGTTTACCTGAATCAGAGATCTTTAATTTTTTTTATATGGCTTTGAGTTACTAGTAGCCTTTGTTTTCAGCATAGAGCATTTATCCTTTTATTCATCCCTCTAGCATTTCCTGTAAGGCAGATCTAGAGACAAACTATTTTTTGTTTATCTGAAAATGTCTTAGTTTCTCCCTCACTTTTGAAGGATGGTTTTGCTGAACATATAATTCTTGGTTGATTTTTCTTTTAGCACTTTATATCATCCCATACCTTTGGGCCTCTTGCTTTCTGATGAGACTTGTTCTATAATTAGGTTTTTTAAAACCACATTGGATTTTTCCCAGATTCCAGGAAGAAAAGGAAAAGTAGATATTTGTATTTTAAATCCCAAGTGTATCACTCTTGGTGAACTATATGGATACCTGGACCCTAATACAATGGAATGGACTGATGGGTTATTACCATCAACGATTCGAAGTTATGTGTATTTCAACACTACAAGATATTCAAGGAAAGATATTGATGTTGAACCAAAGTCAGGAATCTCAGATTTATCTAATGTAAGTTTACTATGGAATGAGTATTTTTATTTGACTAATGTGAATTATTAAATTGTTTATGCAAAGACTAATATTAAGACATCATAGATATCTATTAGTATAAAAGCAAAAATTTAAAATATCATGAACAGTTAAAAATACAGAAAAATCATTAAGTTATTTTAAAAGAGACCTAGCCACAGTGTCACACAAATAAGACACTACTGCTCCATAGGCTAAGGCCACATGGGGGGGGGGGCTGTGTTTGATTGATTTCCTGCCTACCCTAAAAGCCAGGTTCAGTGGCACATGCCTATAATCCCAGCTCTTTGGTAGGCCAAGGCAGGAGGATGAAGAGAGTGAGGCCAGCCTGGGCAGCGTAGTGATATCCTGTCTGAAAAGCCAAGATGGTGGTACACATCTATAGTTCCAGCTACTCAGGAGGCTGGGGCAGGAGAATGATGATTTTATGAGGCCTTGTCTTTAAAAAGTCAGTTTTTTTAATTGAGTTTTTAAATAGTTAATAAGTGATAGAATGAAGTTAGAGATTTTTGCTCTTAAAGGAACACAAAGTGAATTAAGTCTAAATGGAGAATGACTTAGTGATTCCAACACCACCTACACACATATACACACACGCACATGCACACATATATATACCTTACAAATTGATAAGGTAAAAAATGCTTTAGTAGAAAAGTGAATAAAGTATTTTATACAAAATTTAAGAAAGAATAAATATGAATGGAAAATATTTTTGAAACATTATATTTCATTAATATTAAGTAGAGATTACTGGTAAATTTCTTAGCTAAAATGTCTTAATCAAAAGCTGATATTTAAAACAAATTAGCAAAGACTTAAAAAGGAAAATAATACTCCACATTTAACAGATTATGAAGTAGAAATTTATAATATATGCATCTAGGAACAACTTTAAGAATATATATTGAGATTTTTAACTAGATATTACTTTTGAGTTATAAATGCACTCCTAGTAATTTAAACTAAGAAAATAAAAATGTTATCATGTTATTGATATTTTTATATTGATATGAGAATTTTTTCTGTACTAAAAAATAGTTAATAATTTATCAAATGTGCTGTACATATTTTATTCAGAAAATAAACTAAAAACAAACTCTCATGTGCTCCAGCAGTCGAACTACTAGGCATACATCCAAAGGAATGGAAATCAGTATGTTTTATATATATCTACACCCCAGTGTTTATTACAACACTATTCACAATATTCAAGATATAGAATCAACCTATGTGTCTATCAACTGATGAATAAAGAAAACACACACACACAGTGGAGTACTCAACCATTGAAAAGAATGAACTCCATTTGATGTTAAATGAGTGAACCTGGAGGACGTTATATTGAGTGAATAAGCCAGGCACAGAAAGAGAGTTCTCCCTCATATATGAAAATTGAAAAAACAACAACAACAACATAGAAATAGAGAGATGAAGAATGATTACTGGAGGCTGGGAAAGATGACAGCAGGGAGGGGATGGACAGGGGATAAAGACTGATGATTAAGGAAACAAAATTACACATAGGGGGACCAGCAGTTAGCATAATGGCTATATGACTGAAATCCCATGTAGTTGACCACGGTTTAATTCCTGGACCCGGTGGCTTAAACTGACGCCGGGCATGTGTGCGTGCATGCTCAAGACCCCAAGAGGAGAATGGAAGAGAAGGGATTGCAGCATGGCCATTCCCCCGGGGGATGATTTCTCACTTTGTGTCTCTCTGTCTCTCTCTGTCTCTGTCTCTCTGGTGAGCACACACTCCCTGTAGCAAAAACCTCTCAAAAAAAAAAATTACATATAGGTAAGAGGAATAACTTCTAGTGGTGCAAAATATAATAGAGAAAATAAAGTAATAACTTACTGTATATCTCAGGGTAACTATAAAGAAAAGTTTGGATATTCTTAACACAAAGTAATAACCAATAGTTGAGATAATCAGTATACTAACTACCCCAATTTAATCATAACATGTTGTATTCTTGTGCTGAAAAAAATCACATTGTATTCTCACAAATATATACAATTATTATATATAAGTTTAAAAAGATTCAACAGGGATGCATATCAAAAATGGAAACTTCTGGGCTTCATCCCAAATCTATTCTATCAGAATCTCCAAGGATGAGGTGTTAGAATACACAGTTTAACAAACTACAGGTAATTCTTAATGTACTTTAACACTTGAGAACAGATATCAAGAAAAGCCTAGGTAACCGTGCACCACAACGTCAATGGTGCTGAAAAGCTGAGGATGGTGGTGCCCATCTACAGTCCCAATGTACTCAGGAGGCTGAGGCAGGAGGATCATGACATAGCAAGACCCTGTCTTAAAAAATAACTTATTAAGTTTGGGACCAGCAGTTAGCGTAATGGCCATGTCGCTGGACTCCAACGTAGTCGACCACGGTTCGTGTCCCGGACCCGGTGGCTTAAAACTCACGCCGGGCGCGTGTGCGTGTGTGCCCAAGATCCCGAGAGGAGAATGGAGGAGAAGGGATTATGGCGTGGCCATCCTCCCGGTGGGGTGATTTCTCGCTTTCTGTCTTTCTCTCTCTGTCTGTCTGGCGAGCGCATGCGCCCTATAGTGAAAACCTCTACAAAAAATAATAATAATAATAATAATAACAACTTATTAAGTTTTTAAATTGTCAATAAATGATAGGCTGAAGTTAAAGATACTTGCTCTTAAAGGAACACGAACTAAGTTAAGCCTAAATAGAAAATGATCTGGTGATCCCGGCACTACCAATTAATAAGGTAAAACATGCTTTAGTAGAAAAGTGAATAAAATGCACTTTATTGGAAACTATGCACCAAAATGTCAATGGTAGATGAGCGTAAGTGGCAGAAATTCAGAGTACTTTTACTTTCTTCTTTGCACTTCACTCTATTATTTGAATGTTACACATCAAGCATGACTATCTTTTCAGATGAAAAAGAAAAACTAAAGTAATTTTCTAAAGAAAAAGAAGGTATAGTACCGTGTCAGTTACTTTAGCCCATGCTGCTTCTATGCTTATTTTTTTGGCTGCAGAACCTCCTGCCTTTCATATTTATTTTTTTTCACTGAAGGAAGCATTTTTATATATAGACAACTGGGATTGGAAAGTGTCATCGAATAAAAATTTAAGCATTATTGAATATATTTTAGGTTTTCAAACTTGATGCCTCCGATACAACTGATATGGATGATAATGTTTTTGAAGAGATAGAGAAAGATGTTACAACTACAGAAAGTCATAGTAAGTATTGTTACATTCAGTAAAAATGATCACTTAATATAGAAGACAAAATGGAACCAGTATGCACTGTATTTATATCTTTAAAATACAGAGGGTGTGTGTACTCGCTAAAGAGAAACAGAAAGAAGAGCTCCCAGTGGTGTGTAGGCATATAGCATTCCATAATCCCTTCTCCATTCTTCCATCCTATTGAGATTTGGAGCACACATACATGTGCACCTGGTATGTTTCTTTTCTTTTCTTTTCTTTTGGAGAGGTTTTTGCTATAGGGCGCGTGCACTCACCAGAAAGAGAGAGAGACAGAGACAGAAAGTGAGAAATCACTCCCCCCAGGGGGGATGGCCACGACGCAATCCCTTCTCCTCCATTCTCTTCTCAGGATCTTAAGCACACACGCACATGCGCTTGGCGTGAGTTTAAACCACCAGGTCCGGGACTTGAACTGCAGTCAACTACATGAGAGGCCAGTGACATAGCCATTACACCAACTGCTGGTCCCTGCACCTGGTACGTTTTTCATGTCACTTGGGCCAGAATTTGAACCACAGTCAACTATGTGGAATCTGGCACCCTTAACCACAATGTTATGGGACCAGCTCTAAATATATTTTTGATTAGTGTTTTTTTGTTTGATTTTGACTTTTAAGTTTTGCTATGAAGCATGTGTGCTCACCAGAGAGAGAAAGAGAGAGAGAGAAAGTGAGAAATCTCCCCAGAGGGGGGATGGCCATGCCACAATCTCTCTGGTTAATTAAAAATATTTTTCTCTCCAGATTTTGACTGGCAGTGGATTGTCTTAGATGGTCCAGTGGACACCTTATGGGTAGAAAATCTAAACTCTGTGCTCGATGACACTAGAACACTCTGCCTAGCAAACAGCGAGAGAATAGCTTTAACTAATAAAATAAGAGTGATTTTTGAAGTGGACAGTCTTTCTCAGGCCAGTCCTGCTACCATCAGCCGATGTGCAATGGTCTATATGGTAAGTTTTCAAAAACAAATGTCTTAACAAAGAAAATGTGTAACTTAGAAAAGTAGTCATTGCCTACAGTATTTTAATCTTTATTTTATTTTTACCCCTGGGATCAGGCAGAGTGGCCCCATTAGTTCAGAACTTTTGTACCCCGATAAAGCCTCATAATCCAGAATTGAATATGAAGGCAATTACTGCTGTTACTAACACTACTCTTAATCATTAGAGTGTTAGTATTGTCCACAACTGTAAGTAAGTAGTGCTTTCAATAGACAGGTTAGGCTACTGATATGAATGTGGATTATTTTTCTAGTAGAGGAAAGAAATGGCCCCGTAGCCTTTCCATACCACCTCCATAACTCATAGACCTTGGGAAACACATTACCACGTGAGGGAGTAGAAGACACAACAAATAATACGTGTTTGCGGTACATGAAATGAACTGTTAGTTATGATTATTCTATATTCTAATCTACTTAACTGAATGTGAATGCAGATAAATGCAGGGCTGACATCTAGGTAAGCAGTTCCCCTCACCATATACACATGGCCTCTGCACTCCTCTCTACACATAAGTCCCCGGTTGCTTGTTTTCTTGTAAATGATAAAAATCACAAGTTATTCCAAAGAATGGTTCTCTATGCTGTTTTTGATCATTTCCCCCTTAATGAATGACAATTCTCATCTGTATTTGGCAGGAATCAGTAGTGACATAATAAGGAAATAAGACACACAGTATTTTTTATTTATTTATATAAAATTATCTTGTGCTTTTTTTTATCATTAGGATCCAGTTGATCTGGGATGGGAGCCTTATGTTAAGTCATGGCTTTCAAAAACTTCAAAAATTATGAATCAGTCAGGAGTGAATTGTCTTAGATTCATGATTAATAAAAGTGTCAAACATGGACTACAATTTATAAAGAAGCATCAGAAATCCCAGCCATATCCTATAGAGGACTTAACCATCATCATAACTCTCTGCAGAATTCTTGATGCTTTCTTTGAATTTATGAGTAATCATGGAGGATTTGGACAAAGTAAGTTTATTTCTCTATGTAATATTAATGATATATCTTAGCTAATCAATGCCAATTTATCACCTTCTATTCGCTTTTATAAAAGACAATTAAAAAAGGAAGAAAAGACCAGAAAATTTCAATCTATTTAGACCAACAGCAGACATGTATGTGGAACGAGCTAAAAAACATTTCTAAAGGTGTATATGAATAAAAGTAAGTTAATATGGTACACAAGTGTTGAAGGGTTAAAAGAAAAATTCATGTAAAGAACTCTTAAAGGATTTCTATTAGGGAAAAATGATTTCACCTAAATCATTACTATGACATTAATTTTAGAGTTATAAATAGTGGGGAAAATATTCAAAATTCTAGGTGTAAGCTGCAATCAGGCAAAGACATAAGCATGGAAAGTACTAAAAGATAGGTGAGGTGAGGTCAAGTTTCAGAAGATGGAGGTAGTATTGTAGATAAAGGTATGGTTTCTGGAGTCAGAATGTCTGCATTCAAATACTGGCTCTATTTAGTTCCTGATGGGATTGCAAATTAGCACAGGCTCCCAACTCTCTCTAAAACCCAATTTGGATCCACCATACTAATGTAGATATTGTAAGAAAACTCTGGGGTGACATAAAATGGCTAAATCCAGAAGAAAGCTGGGTATCATCAGTAGAAGATAAGATGAGGGAGTGTTTTTAGGCCTACCCTTTTCCTGTCTCCTGACTGAATGAGCTATTGCCCTTAGTCAGATTTTAGCCCAGTGTCAGGGAGTGATCAATTCTTCTGAGACTTGTAGTGGGGACATAGTGAATATTTACCAAATCATAAAAAGCAGAACTACAATAACTCTTAAGGGAAACCCCTCCCCTATCTACCTGTGAGCAATGTTTAAACACTAATGCATTCCCTCCTGTAAAGAAGTACCCCTTGCTACTATTAGCGGAAAAACGGATGAAGACCGCTCTGACTGCTTTCTGCTGAACAGGACATTGACAGGGGCAGCAGTCAGAGAGCCTCCATCAGAGGTCTATCTAGGGGTCCCCAGTAGAAGGTCACCGTGGGTATAACTTGAAGAGATGTGTGAAGTTTCAGAGCATCTAGACAAGAAGAGACAAATTCAGTTAACCAACTTAATATACAGAGTCCAAAAAGACAATTATTATTATAGGTCCCAAGAGGAATGAAAGCCAGTTTGGCCATCCCCAATTCCAAGGAGGCCCAAAACATATTTTATTGAGTTCATCTTGAATTTGGTCAATATAAAAGTTAATTTTATCATAATTATGTATGTTATCAAAACAACACAATGGGTTGGCTGGTGGTTAAGGATGCTAGACTCCCACATGGGCAACCGCAGTTCAAGTCCTGGACCTAGTGGCTTGCTTTCTCATTTTCCCTCTCTCTTTCTCACTCTGTCCTTCTCTAGTCAAATTTAAATAAATAAATAAATACATACACACACACATACACACACACACACACAAATATGGGAACTCATGGCAACCAACATGGTACAACAGGAGAAGATAACCTATCCAGCACAATTTTCTAGAATGCTATCATGAATGTCCTTTAACCATTAGAAACCTTCATTTATGAAGTTGGTAAAGCCATTTCCATGGGAAGCAATCTTGGAAATGAAAACAGTCATAACAGACAAATTTAGTTGTTTTTACTGAACATAGTATTTAAAGACAACAACCAGACTTACAGCTAATGATATTCTATCAGTACAGTTTTAGAAAATTTATGAACAAACCCTTAATTTTATTAACTTCATAACACTTAGACTTTTCCAGTATAACCACATGCTTTAGACCTTTAGTTTTTGTCCCTTCTTTCCTTTCTTTTCAGATAATCTAGCCATTTTACCTTAAAACCAAAACCTTATCATACAGGGGCTGGCAGGTGGCATGGTGGTTAAAGGCGTTGGACTTGCACATGACTGACCACTGTTCAAATCCTAAACCTGGTGGTTTAAAAATAAAATCACTTCAGGCACATGTGTGTGCATACCCAAAATCCCAAGAGGAGAATGGAGGAGAAGGGATTGTGGCATGGCCCTGTGTGTCACTTTGGTCAAATTTTAAAAAATAATAATAATGATAAATAAAGGAAATAATTCTTAAACTTTACCATACAATTCCTTCAATACCACAACCTTTCTTTTTAAGTTATTTTTTTAACCAAAAACACACTTCATAGTTGTAACCTTTTTATGTTACTCTTTTCTGTTTACTATTAAACCAAAAACACACTTCATAGCTGTAACCTTCTTTTTATGTTACTCTTTTCTGTTTACTATTACCTTTCCTTGTTTTTCTCTTCTTTTATAAGTTTATTTTGGATATAACCTTAACTTCTGATTAACTAGACAAAAATTAGTATCTTAAAGAACATCTTCTTGTCACCTTAAGGGTTACCTGAGGCTTGACCAGTGAAATTTCTAGATGTCCAATGGAAGCCATTAGGGTCTCTGGCCCCATCAATTCTCAATTTCAGAGGCTACCAGACTCAGTAATCCCAGACTCCCTTTGGAGCTCACAGAATTCCTGTCTCCAGTGACCAACTGCTCCACATGGGGACAAGGTCCCACGGAGAGAAATGAGGATGCCAGTGATGGCCACTGTTTTTTCCATTGCCCAGGCTTCCCACATTGGAAAATATTAGTTTCTCCAAGGAAGAGGCTCTGTCGGACTTCCCAGATCTTAGACTCACGTAGAAGTTAAATTACCAGCCTTCAGGATTACGCTGAAGGACTCAGGTGGCTATGACCACAGGCAATTAGGATTTTTTGTCTTTTTAAGTTAAATCAAAGAGCTTAAGGTTGGGAACCAGCAGTTAGCGTAATGGCTATGTCGCTGGACTCCCACGTAGTCAACCGTGGTTCGTGTCCCGGACCCAGTGGCTTAAACTCACACCGGGCATGTGTGCGTGCGTGCCCAAGATCCCGAGAGGAGAATGGAGGAGAAGGGATTGCGGTGTGACCATCCCCCCGGGGGGGGATTTATCGCTGTCTGTCTCTATGTCTCTCTCTGTCTGTCTGGCGAGCGCACGCGCCCTACAGTGAAAAATCTCTCCAAAAAAAGAAAAAAAAAAAGAAAAAAAAAAAAAAGAGCTTAAGGTAAATTGCAATTTATTATAGCACTATGTATTTTACAAATAAACAAATAAAAACTATCACCCAATATATTAATAGAATGGGACAATCTTAATAATGGGACCAATGTTTCATTCCTGTAAAAATTTTAAAAACAGTAAAAATATTTAATCTTTATATTAATCAAAGCCTGTTAACTATTTAAAGATAACTTAGACATCTTATGAATACTCGATTAAGCACAACCTTAAGATCCCCAATTATCTGAAAACTTCACTTGTAAATATCTACAACACCTAAAACCTTTTTTTTAAACATTATGCCTTTATTATCTGTGAAAATCAAGATATTAAAAAAAGCTAATCATTAATCCATTTCTCCATTGGATATCCCCCATGTAACATACGACCCATAACACATAAATACCAGTTATTTTATTAAACCAACCCTAGGAAGACAGATATGTTGCCTGAACAATAAAACCACAGACAAATACATTACACATTTTCTTTTGCCATATTTTAAGCCAGTGTTTTTGTCAAAGACTTACTTAAGTCATGTGAACTTGAAAAACATTTCATTTGTTAAACGCTTTAAGCTAATTGTATGAGCACTCTTACATACAAGCCGAATTGAATGGAATTCCTTAAGGCCTTTTACCATATGGACATACAACATAGAGCACATTGCATATATGCGTACACACATATACACGTGCAAACAACAGATCTTATAGTCTTCTTAAAAGTTTTTTGTCGTGGGACCAGCAGATGGCATTATGGTTATGTGTTGGACTCCCACATGGCCAACCATGGTTTGAGTCTTGGACCTGGACTGGAAATTCACTGTAGGTGCGTGTGTGCCCAAACTCCCAAGGGGAGACTGGAGGAGAAGGATTGTGGCTTGGCCAGTCACCAGAGGGTGATTTCTCGCTTTCTCTCTGCCTGTCTCTCTGTTTCTCTGGTAAGCACATGGGCCCAATAGCGAAAATTTCTCTACAAAAAATGTGTAAAAAAAAAAAAGTTCTTTGTTTTGAGTCTGCAGATGGCATAGGGGTTACATTTCGGGATTTCCCAA